AGTCTAAATAAAACCAGTGAATGAATAGATCATCTGGATCAAAAACAGAAGTAACTCAATGAATTGCATAACAATCGCATCGCATCGCACCATACCTGCTTCTGAGTGTCGTTCAGCTGGAAAACCCGAACCAAACGATCTTGACTCGACGTCAACAAGTACTCACCACTCGCACTCCACTTACAACATCGTACATAATTATTGCAAATGTTGCCCGGAAACGAAAATCCGAACGTTTGTTTGTATTTCGTATCGTTGAATACTGCACTTTCACGTTGTAAAAGTGTCATCTTCTCGAAATCCAACGACAGTTTAGATCGTTTCACCGCAACAACAACGTCCTCAGCATCATTCGGTCTTGCTCGGTGCTTTGTTGTTAACGAGATGTCATCGCGTCTCGTATTCTCATATGCTCGAGACGATCGCTCCTCATTGCCAGTGAGGTTCGAGTTTGAACTATCACTTTTCGGAGTCCCTTGGCCTTTAGGCACGGATTTTTGCGCATCTCGTTGATTCTCTTCTCTCATCTGTAACTTGGAGCATGACACCATAATAATACCGCTCATAACATAAGTTATATCACTACATCAAACAGAATGAGAATATATTTCCTTTTTTGAATGAGACTATAATACAAAACCATATTAACATTCAATATGCAAATGGCTAAGTCATAAGAATATACCTAGTACTGAGTCTAAAAATAACAATTCCAATCTGTAACAGTACAGAATTTTTGCCGATGTCTCAAAGTAGTGAATCGGACAAAAAAGAAAAAATGTAAAGGAAACAACGGCAAGTACCATTTGCAAAAGAAAAGCAGTCCCTTTTCGGAGTATTTTCTCGTTTCTTTTTTCTTCGCGAAGCTCGTTAGCTATGGAGATGGAGCTGCTGGCAGTATTGCTTTTATCAGGTTCTCGTCCTGTTTTTGATGGCTCCAGTGGTAGTGGTTCTGCTTGAGTGTTCGCTATTTTTGACGATGCATCAGTTTGTTGTCGATGATCCGAATTCCCAACTTCAACTTTACGAAGAAGCTACAAAAGCGAAAACATTACTGACAACGTGAGTTGTTCGTTCATTTTAGAGGCATAATTCCTTTCCTCAGTTTTAGTAATCGCCACTCAATGGGAAAAACCGCACAAATGGAAGAATATGCATAATGTTGTTGATGCAAATACCTCCTCAAGAAGATCCACAACTTCTACTGCTTCATTTCGATGGATTTCCGGTGACGATGGTGACGATCCACGCCGCTCACTGATTCCAGATTCATGCACAGTGCCACCGATATTCTGTACTGCACCTACGGATCCTTGAGAACTATCTTGCGATCGTATGAACTGCTGCTGGACCTGCTGTGTCTGTTGTTGTTGATGGCGATTACTTTCATCCATTATCCTGTTTCTTAAACGTAATTTCGTTGGTAAGCAATTAATTATCATGAAAGTCGAGAGTGAATGAAAATTATAAAGGATGGAGTTAAGCCTCGTACAATTACTGGGCTTCAGAGACCCGATGCGAATAATAAGTCCTTCAATAGCTCATGAATAGTGATGATATGGAAGTATAAATTGATGATTTCATTCACATTCTCGATCTCAATCGAGCAAATGATAATAAATCTTTTTTTTTGCAAATTGATCGCGCGATTTTTTGATGACCTTGAATATATATGCAAATGATTGGATAAACTCATTTATATTGTAAAGCGCTCATTCCTACAATCATATTCCTTGAAGAGAATCGTATTACGACATTTCAGAAGAGCCTTTCGCCTCTGATACATGCTAGCCTCTCCTTGATAGATACTGAGATGCTTAAGACTTTTTCCCGTTCAGGAAGCAATTCCCAAGAGTAATAAGTGGGAAATTCAAGAACAGGAATTGCGTTTGATAGAAATCCGTGTGAGAGATGTCTCAATTGCCATAGGAAATATTGCATGCATGATGCATTTGATATGTGCTGACATGACTAGATTTGCTTCTCATTAGCAAATTTCACAATTGTACGGATCTGAACGACACCAAACGACAACAACGCAAAAAACAACCAGTTCGAAAAAGTAAATGTATTTTCGTTTATTCAAAACGTTCATTACAAATGAAATGAGAAAATATAATTTTATCATTTATAGCATATTGAAGATAAAATAACGATAACGTCATAGTAAATGATACGAATCATTGTTAACAACGATAATAATCCTTAGAACAGACACGATCATAACTGCAAAAGGAGATATTCCACCGAAAATGAGTACGAGACAGGATATATATTACAAACATTAATTTACAGTGAATCATAAAATGAACGGTGAACATTTGATGAATACCTTCCTGGTGTCTACATAAAGTTCAATATTTCTTTTAACTCATATTCAACAAGGATAATAGTTAAACTGATGCGATTCCAATGGAAAACATACACAAAACGACTTTATAACAAAACAAATGAATTTCTGTCAGTGAGCGATTACCAAAAAATGATTACATCCTCGAAAATGCCAGATTAACAGACGAAATTCTCAAAGGATGAGATCGGATGAGACCAACAACAGAATAATGAGGATAT